AGTCGGTTTTTTTGTATTAATAGGTTAATTTTACTTAAAATAGTACCCTTTTGATTCAACATAGCGTTTAATGTTATCAAAAAACATGTTGTCCAGGCTAGCAAATAAGACATTAGATGGGTTATACGTCAACAAAACGCCGAAATATAAATGCTAATAGATGATATCACCGCAAATACCTATTTTTGAACCTTATTGGTTCCTTTTAAAAACACCCTGTGTATTAGTAGCTATAAACCTAGAAACCATTGATATGTTTATTCAATATATAAAAAATTGATTGTTGTGGCAATTTCACTCCATTAATTTTAATAAATTTTTTTAAATAATCTAGGAAAACAAGTTCAATAAAGAGTTTTGATGCAAATACTTAAATGTTACTCATTATTTGTATTCTCATATCTCCGATATCTCTTATATATGATAATGCTAATATACAGCATATACCATAGATCCATTTCTAACAATAACTACAAGAAAAGAAGTTATTCTTTGAATATCTATAGAGCATACTTACTGTATATAATTCGTTTAATTTATGAAAGAAAAATAAATGATTTTAATAAATTGAACATTTTTAAGCACATTGCTTAACGGACATTATCATATCATATCATTTGGCACATTACCAGAAGTTGAAGATATGTTCAACTTCCAACACAGATGAGTCACTAAATTATGTGAAGATACGTTCGTAACATTTTTTGGATTGTGTAAGTGAAAAACTTTGGAAAGCTTTTATCAATGAAAGTCGCATTTGTTTACAAATTCAAACAACTAAAATCTCAACACAACGAAAAGTTAAATGAAAGACTTTAATGAAAGAGAAAATATAAGAGAAAAAGTGTTTCTTTGAGTTTAAGAGAATTTATCTTACGCACTACGTTCAGCAATGTTGGCTAAAAATTTATTGTCATAAACTATATTATTATATTTTTAGTTTAAGTTTTATTGAATAATAACGATAGTACATTTTCCAATAAATATTGAGAATGTAAATTTTATTTTATTTTTTTTTTAATTAAACTAAACACAACAACAAAATTTAAAATAATTTTTGAAATATATTTTAAATATTTTTTATATATATATATATTTATATTTTTATATGTTTTGTATTTTACTTTGCATAGTTTATATTTTATTGATAATCTTGTTAACATTTTCTTATTTAAGACTTCGTACTTTAATATCTCGTGATTTTAAAACTTCAATATTATTAAATTATATTTCATGAAAAAAATAAAAAATTTCTTAGTCTAAATAAATGTGAGCTCTCAAATTAAAAAATAGTTTTTTAACGGGTTATGCTTCTGTTAACTATCGTTTTTCGAAGATAGAACTAAAGAACTGAACATACTATGAGACACAGAATAATATTTCTGCCCATCTCATCTGCTTGTGTCAAGTAAATACCAGAAAACAAGTCCAGTACCTTTATAGTAGGAGTAAGAGTAGTAAAAAGATGAGGAGAAGTATTAGGAGTAAAACAAGAAAAGAGTCTAATAGCAGCATGATAGCAAAAGCTAGAACATAAAAACTTATATATCATATGATAAATAATGGCTTATTTCATATAAATTTTAATAAATTGTTCTGTAATTTTAAGTATGCATTTTATATTAAAAAATAATATATAAACAAATCTTTATTTATTTGTTTTTATTTTTCATTATTTATATTGAATCCTATCTTTTATTCTGTTATTTTAGACTCAATATTTTTTATCATTCATTATATGAATTACATGTTTCATTCAGAATTATTTAATTATTATTTTAAATATTAAATATTTTAAATTTTGTATATTATATATGTCTTATAATTTATATATATATCTTAAATATTTATGTTATCCTTCATATAAAAATTATATGGAGGTATTAACTAAATTATATATAATACAATATATATTATATTATATATTTTTAATGGTATATTTTTTTTTTATTTTCTATACATATTTTATTTTTAGCTATTTTTATAATATTTTAATTTCATATGTTACATTTTATATGTACATGACATAGATTTTCCATTTTTAATTTTATTTTTTATTAATTAAAAACCAAATTTTTGTGTTTTTTATGTTAATTCGGTACTATTAAAATTAAATTTAAATAAAACCTGATGTCCATATATTGTATTTTATATGTACTTAGCCCTGTCATGAGAGATTTCATCTTATTAGCTTTGTTCAATGGTAGTCATTTTTTTTTTTAAATATACCTTGTGAAACTCTTATATTAATTTTGTCTTATATGTTATTTCTTTTCACTGTAATTTCAATTCGTACTACATTTAATGGCATTTTTAATACTTCTAATAACAAAGTTTTAATAATAATAATTTCTTTCTTTATAAAGCAAGATTAACCTTCTCTTAACGATAACGTTTTTTCACCATTAATTGTAGTTTAAAAAAATTCAATGGAATCAGTCAATTTTTTTCCGAGTACAAAAATTAGAGACATCCTTTATATATATATAATATACATATACATGTACATATATGTAGATATGTAATGTATGTTTTGATTCTAATTTACTATATATTATCTTTACTTTGTATAGTTTCTTATTAAAATATATTACATATATAATATTAAGTTAAAAATGTCATATTGTATACTTTATTTTGTTTTTTTTTATAGTTTTTTGTTTATTATCAAGTTATAGTTCATTATAGTTCACATATAAAATTTTATATCATGTAATTAATGAGTAATTTTATATTATAGTCATAGTTTATTGTCTTTTGTATTTTTAACTTATTTAGATTTTCAAAATCGTATCTATTTAGTGATTTATAATTTTGATTTTAAAAGTGCATAATTTGACTTTTTGTGTTTGAATTTATTTTAAAAATTTATACATATGTTATTATAAATCATTTATACTATTTTTTTTTTTGTTAGAATTTAATTTTTTATCTTTATTTTTTTATTTTTTTATTATTTTTTTATTTTATTTTTTTATTTTATTATTTATTTTTTTTTTATATATTTTTTTTACTTTTCTTTTATTTTTTTTTTCTTTTTCATATATTGTTTATTTGGTGATTATATATATCGCCAAAAACAGGAGTTTAAAAGTATGTATATAAATCAATTTTTTTTATTAAGTTTAATATATTTTTGTATATATATTTTTATATATATATTTTGTAATTATATTTTTTATGTCTATTTTTTTTATATTTTTTTTATATAATTTTTTTTATATATATTTTTTTATAATTTTTTTTTATAATTTTTTTATAAGTATATATATATATATATGTATATATATATATATATAATTAGTTATCTTAAATCACTGTTTACTTCTTGGTTATAATGTAAGTAGCTCACATATACCAAACTTACTGGCATAAGAGCTTTTAAACTTTTGTTATCATTTCATGCTCTCAGCGCTTCTGAAACGCATACCACTAATGATTTCGTCCTTTTATATGAATAACTAAAGTCCTTTCTAGTTAGTTCGATACGAACCGTCGCACTGTGTGGATGTGGTTGCAGCTCGCAACGAAAACATCCTTAGTACGGTTATCTACGTTTAAGTTAACAACAGGCGAGGCGCCAACTTCCTTCATAGCACGTACAGTACGCAACTTATATTATAAATGTTTAGTTAAAAACATTAAAGGAAAAATAATTGTTGAAAATTGCTTAGAAAATGTATCTTCAAAATCAAAACAAACGTAACATCGAAAGCACGTGTGTCTAGTTGTCTTGTTGGCGTCGGTGTTTATTTAAGGAAACTTATATATTCAAGCGTATATAAATACGAGTGGAGAAAAGGATATTTCAAATAGTGAAAGCCCAACAATAAACGTAAATAGTAAAATTAGATTAAGAAAGGATAACTGAAATCAACTTGCAATATATTTGTATTTATAAATTTATTTGTAAGTATTAGTCGATCTACGGTGTCACTGATGAGTGGAAAGTATTTTAGATTTCTATTTGCTGAAATATGTCATTTTGTGTGCGACAGTTTTTGTGTCAATGCCCTGTGTATCCTTTAAAGTAAAAGTGATTTCTGATAACAAATTTTGCAAATAAATTGTTTTCCTAGATTATTAATAAAATTGTAATTAAATAAAATTTCAAACGTTAACAATTTACATACTTACATAGGAAAATCACTAAGGGATTTGTGAACGATGTGATTGTAAGTAGTTTAAAGTTATTATATATCTTTTATAGTAATAGTGCTTCTGAATTCTTTAAACAAATGCATAATATCATACTTTAAAATTTGTTTACTTCAATGTTGTATCTAATTAAGTTTTATTAATTTTGTTTTTTATATGGTGGTGTATATATTTTTGTAAAATCATGAAAACGTATATAAAATTTTTTTAATTATTTGCTGATTACTTCCTGTATTATAAATACTATATCAGTATACTACAGATGACTATAGACTATAGTTGAAGTATTGATGACAATAAAATATGTTTTTATTTTTTAAAACAATTTGTTATGTACCATGCTCTGGTCATATCAAATGTTCAATAACATAAAAAATAATATATAATATCATATATAATATCATATAATATATATCATATACATATATATTATATAATATATAAATATCATACCTGATTTAACAATGAGTTGCTATTAAAAACTTTATTTAATAGGCTCAAAAACTGAGTGACTGATTTACTTACTAATAGATAGACAGAGGAATATATCGTCAAAAACATACGTTTTTTTTGCCTGTAAAGTCGTTTATTTTTTCAAAATAGTTTCTGGTAAATATCTGGTAAATATGTAAGTGGTTCATCTTACGGTCGTATGGTTATAATTTAATTGATGGTCTCATAAATACTTACTTTTAAAAGAGCTGTTTACTTTCGAACTAGCTTTATTACTTTTACCAAGTTATATAGTTTTAGTGTTGTTTAAAGTTTTTTTATGAAACAATTTGTGTTTATTTTAAATAATGTATAAAAATATATTATTTCAAAAACATTGATGCTCAAAATGTTATACATCATATATTATTATTTTGCTAACCTAAAAATTGGGTAGAATTATGAACATTTGCAATAAAGCAATCCTCAACCATGTAGCCATAAGAAAAATATGGTATTATAAATGAAGTTGTAGAAAAAATGATTAAAATAATATCTCGTATCAAATAGATAAAACTAGGTCCATAACCAGAGTGATATTTACAACATAAATCCATTATAGCAGGGCAAAATAAAGCCAAAAATGCGGAATAAGTTATCGCTAAGTTTGCTCCTGCATAAATCCAATGATATCTAATAGTTGGAAGCACTGTAGTAAAATTAAATTACAAATTAATTTTAATTTAATCAATATTATAATTAAATAATTATAATTAAAATTAAACAATTATACGATATATACCTGTAATTATAATAATAGTGGCGCCCGTAATAATTAGTGTTATTTTGCGGTTTTCTTCAGGTATGATGTTTTTCAAATATTCGTTCCAAACAATGTCATAAATAATATAGCTATGCAATGGATATGTTATATATATGGACAATGAAATTAGCAAATTCACTAATGCGCCAATACTAAAGAGTTGGCCAATTAATTATAGTTAATAATTTTAATCATAATTAATGTACTTACGGTACTAAGTCAAATAACGAAATAACTCTGCATCTTATTGTCGTTCCATAGCTTAAATATAAAAACGCTCCATAGAGTATATGTACTACAGACGATAAAATAGCGCTCTTAACAAAGATACCTTCTGAACCAGTAAACTGCTGTGGTTCCTTCAAGTTATATTGGATTGTAAGGAACTATTTTAACGATATTAAAATTATATCAATTGTATTTAAAGATAATTATCAAAAAATTACCAAACCAATTGGACCAGCCATAAATATTGCTGATTCATAGTTAAAAAAAAAAAATGTAACGTGATTAATTAAGTGATATTGTACTCCATTTTCTTGAAACATGTGAAGAAAGCTAAATGCCATGGTTACAATTATAGCTACACGAAACAAAAGAAATTAAAAGCTAAATGATTATAAAAATAACATTTATATAATATATTTATTATATTTATTAAATTTATAAATATTGATTATTTGTATAAAAATATTTATTATATATATATCAGAGATGCAAAGTATGTCTCTTAATCGACATTTAAGATTAAAGAGTCTTTTTGTGCAAATGATATTGCTAAAACGCCTGTTTATAACAGCTAATACTACTTTGCAAATAAATACTACCTTCAAAGGTCTAGTGTTTTGTAAAATCACTATTTATTTTTAAATGATTTATAATTTTATTAATTTAACTGTTGGCATTTGTTTTGCGAATTTGGTATCTTATGACTTGGATTAATTATTTTTACAATTTTCATGTTGTAATTTTATTTCGCAGAAGACAGCATACTCTTTTAGAAGTATATATTTTTTTGAATATATTTTGTTTTTAAACATTTCAACAATATTCTTTGTTAAGAATTGTTTTTACAAACGAAATAACAATGTATTATATATAAATTATTTTCAGAAATTATTAAAAATAATTACCTATTGCAATCAATATAACTCCTATTATTACGAAGAAGATCATCTTACCAAAACTATGTACGCATAAAAATAAGATCAGTGGTAGTATCAATGGTATATAAAAAAGCCCAACGAATACATTTATATCCATTTTCGTAGAACATTCAGACCAAAGACTAATAGTATATACAAGGTACATTGAGCACAGAATTAGATGATTAAGTACAAGCATAATATGTATTATATGTCTAAAAAAGTAATAGTTATTATTACATTTTATGTCGAACGTTGTGTAATATTAATTTACTTAAATACTATTCCAGCTATTTCTAAAGAATCTGCTATTTCTATAAACGCTTCTTGCATTGCCTCACCATACTTGAGTCTTTCTTTTCCATGTTTCTCGCATAGCATATTTATATTGGCTGCCTAACATAAGAAAATAGTTATAACTATTAAGTATTACATCGACAACTCCTATTTAAGATACCACTAGATGAATTATGGAGAATCCGATAAGAGAACTAACAGTTACATTAATTATCGCTGGAATCCATCCTTCAGTTTTAAACATAGTATGTATCAATAACAATCCCAGAGTTATACTAGTTTTTATGACGAAAAAAAATCCTGTAGCAAAACTGTAAAGACGTAATAATGATTAACATATATCCAAAAATTCATTCCTCTTAAACTAACGATAAAGTTTCGTTCTCATTTCCAACATCAGCTGATCTGAAAAAAAGTTAAAATAATACAACGGTTTAAAAAACGTTGGTAGTTTATAATAGTTACGGCTGCATTTTTTTAATAATTTCGATCAATTTTCTAGGCACTGGTGTTTTCAGAAAATAAAAAATATAGTTTAATATGGTTTTTTTACATTAATTATTATTATTGTTTTTACTTGAAATGAATAAAAATAATTGTTTTGAAATTAAATAAAAGGATAACTATAATTAATATATATTTTTGTAAATTAAAATAGAATAAATATTTATATAATACATATAGAGAGACTAAATTGAATTGCAATTTCTGAAGGATGAGTTCCAGCGATAACTAATGTAACTGTCAGGTTTTTAAGTTGTACTATTCACTTAAAATTTAATTATACGAAACCGACAGCAAAAAATTTGAGAAAAAAATCTTACAAATTCCTTCAATTTATGGGTTTGATTTGGTCGACAAACTAAAAAAACACTGTATGAATGTGAACTCGTGAAATTTTCACAAATTCCTGAAAAATGGCTTTTTCGAATATATCAACAATCACTTTGTCGTTTTTTAGTGATGAGTTTGTCTTATACCGAGAAGTTGAAATAAGCAATTGCTAGTGAAGCGTACTTTGTGTGACGGCACAAAATCTTATTGAGACGTCCCTTCTTTCTCACTGAAAGAATTTGTTAGACATTGCTTCATATTGCATTCAAAAGTTTTTTTGGCTTTCTGCATTTTAGTTAAACTTGATGACACCGTTTCAAAACACCAACTAAGATCCACCATCAACCATCTAAACTATGACTGCGACTATGGTTTTTAAGTACTTGTGACTATTCGAGTGTCAAAATTTTTTGTGTGATCTCAATGATAATTGATCGTTTTGCTGGCTTACAAATTGTTTAATTGAAAATATCTTTTCATATGTAATGACCATAATCAGTTAATATAGCTAAAATATAGATGCAGAGTTGCTACCAGTTCGAAAGTTATAGAACATAGTTTCAATTTTAATTTAGTTCAATTGGGCCTAAAATGTGGCTTTAAAAATTTAAAACTAGCTTGAAACCAAAGTCGCAGTAATCGTCGGAAAAACCGAACATACGTTTAGTACAAATTAACTATAGTACAAATTAACTAACATTTAGTACAAAATTTATACATATTTCCAATTTCAAAATGAAGTATAAAACAGAAATGCAATCCTTAATCCTTAATCTGATTTCCAACCTGAGGATAGTTTGTCCATGAACAACTTAAAATTCAGTAAACCTTTCATCTCATGATTTCTCAAGCTGAGCAAAACATTTGATACATGTGCAAAATGTTCACATTGTTATTATGACTTACATTAGAAATGACAATAAAATGTCATTAAAACTACAATTTACAAAGAAATCTGATAAAATGTTGGATTCTGGAAAACTTTTCTATTCCGCGAATTTTTGTTAGATGAGAAAAAATATGATATACCATATTGTTTCGAATATTCAATATGAACTGCTCCGATTTGTAAATGGATAAAAAATAATACTCCTGTTATTTGCACCAGTTGTTTCGAATACACATGACATTACAATCCAACTATACCAGCATGGATATCTTCTTAAGGAAAACTTTTAAACAGAAGTTCTTTTATTAGTAGTATTATTTGAAATGCAGTTCAAGTAAATTTATATTATTGGAATTCATGTAGATCCGGGCCAGTTGTGATACCATTAGGAGATATACTACTCCTTTTCAACACCTCTTAGTAAAACTATTGATTTCGAATATCTAACAGTAAGTTCGCATAGCTATAAAATAGTACCCAATAAGGCCTAACATCAACAGATTGACATCAGTTATTTTTGTGAAAATATTTAGATAAATAATTTGCCTTAGTATTTCTAGCTTTTAAGGCAGGGTTGCTTTATATTTCTGTCTGATAATTAAAGAAAAAACACAAAAGAAAACCATTTTGATTTGATGTTGCTTAAAACAGCTTATTTATAGAACATCTTCACAAAATGAACACAATTAAAAAAATTCTAAAAAGTAATAATTACTCCTTGCTCTATAATTTTACATCTTTAGTTAATATTTTTTTTTTGTCTCTACCTAATATGATCTATTGAGTTATAAAAATAAAAATTATTTCAAAATATTGCATTAGTGTTGATTCACTAATAATAGTAGTAAAAATAAAGACTTTAGCTATCTATCTTTTAGCTATCAGAACAAATTGCTTCAGTAATTTTAATGAAACAATATCAGAATAAATCGTTGCTTCCCAGTTGCCTTTTTTGTAGACGACGTATATGTTTTACAGGATGTTTTGGGCACTTTCTGCCATTATGAATACGATAGAAAAAAATCTAGAAAATAAATTCACATTTTTCTAGTTATTAATGCGTTGTTATTATTTTTATAGTATTATTAAGCATATACAGTATTATATGCTTAACAAAATATTATTTAATACTTATCATATATATTAACTTAAGGTATAATACTGCAATTAAAAGTAAAAAAATGTGTTATATAGGAAGATATACTTTTTTTAATTTAATTTTTTAAAAAATGTTCTTCAAGTTAGTTTAATAACAGATATTGTATTTGAAGTAGGTGAAATGATGCATGATACATAAATTTTTTTTTTTTTCTAGTAAAATTAAAAAAAAAAATATTTTATATTTATACATCATGCATAAAAGGTAACTCATACGCTCCGGTGGCCAAAAATAATTGTGCCTATAAACGCTTTTTAATACGAAGAACAAACAAAACTTTGTTGATACTATTATTATGCACAGAAAAACATTACCATAAATCAAATTCACAAATAAACATTTAATAAATAATATATATATATATATTTTTTTTTTTTCTCACATTAATTCAAATAAAATGTTATGTTTTGTGAAGTATATAAACTCTTGCGAATTTGAGTTATATGATATGAATTAATTAATAAAAACTATGAAAGAAGACACTAGAATACAATAGGAAATAAAAAAAGATATATTTAAAAAGAAACTTTATTTAAATTTTTATTTAAATTGTTATTTAAAATTTTGTTTAAACTTGTTTCATGTTTTAAATAAACGAGGGAATAAATATTCTATACTGTATAATATCGTATGACTGCACTTAAGGTAGTGTTGTTGAAGTATACCTTCTAAATCTGAAATTGGTCATATTGTAGTAAAGTCAAAAATGATATCACAGAATAGGACCAGTATGTTTAAAGGTTCATACATTTTGACATATATATCACATTTGGAACGATATCTCGTAAACCTAACTTGTTAAGTAACTAATTACGGGCTTCAAATCTGCCTCCAAAATTCATTAGAAACAACCATCATTGTTTTTGGAATTTTATTTGTTGCAATTTTTGTGATTTGGTAATTCAAATATTACAATATTCTTTTGATTGTTTTTTAATTGTTTTATTAATAGTTACTCCATTATATTATATTAGAATCTATAACCTATTGACTATGTCAATATCGTTGAGTTTTCGCTATTAGTTCAAAATTATTGGTGTGTTGGATCCGTATAAAGGAATCTGTTAATTTCTTCGTGTGTATTGAAACTTAGCCATATTTTTTTTTTCAGTGACGACACTGACGTAAAGTTCATCTGCAGTCTTATTATCATCATTTTCAACTTGAGCAAATATCAAGCCAAGTACTTAGCACGTTAGGTTTACACAATTTTTATAGTATCATTTACAAATAAAGTGACAAAAAACTTGGAATTTGAGCATTGAAAATTTGTTAAGCCTTGACCACTTGTGAAAAAACACGTTTGGTCATCGTTTCTAATTTTATAGCCACTAGTTCTAAGTCTGGCACTTGCAACCCAACAAATTATAATTATTTTTATTTTTATTACCAAAGATCACTGATGATGATCTGTGTTATATGGTCAGCCAAATTTTATTAACTTAATCAAATTTTTGTTGCTGTTTCTTCATTATTATTCGAACCCTTTTAGTTTCTTTTCGTTATAAAATATGTCACATTCGAGAAAAAAAATTAATATTAATAAATATTTTATTTGAACATAACATAATCACAGTATTCCTATTTTATAAGACGAATCACTCTTATAAGGTTCCGTCTTATATTAAAATATACCGTGCACCTCAATAGTTCAAACACTCAATGTTAACGAAATACTTAATTTCGGAACAATAACTCTTTTTTGATTCCGAAGCATTCTTAATTGGCTTCGGAACTCAAGGATTAGCAATAAATAGTATCGATTCTAGAGAAGTGGTACTATTCAATAGCATGTGATTGATAATTAATATTTCGAATTTCATGCCAAAACGAAGTTTCTTCCTTGGTAATTTTCGTCTATGTATATTGATAATAAGATACTATATATTGGGAATAAAAACTACAACCTACCTGAAAAATGTATTCCTGGCTAATAGCAAATTTTTTTATAAATTAATATGCACTTACAAAAGGAGAAATCAATTATGAAATTTTATTTAGAATCCATGAATTTTTAAAGAGTAGTGTCTTGTGGTGTACTGTTTGTTCTGTCGATATCTCTAGATATCATTAAAAATATCAATAAAACATTTAGGTGTCTAATTTAATTAGCTTATAAATGTTACGAAAAAGAAATTCATATAGTTAGATCGCATGCAATATAGTATAAAAATGTATTCTACAATATAACTGAATTTTAATAAGTATTTGTTATATGAATTGTAAGAAATATCTAATATCTAATATAGTTTTCTCTCTTGTTGTTACTGCAAAAATTATAGCTTATTATATATACGTATTATTTTTTTTATTATACTATACTATATTTTATATGTAATGCAATAATGTTTGGAAAGAAATGTATTATTCTTTAAATTTATCATGGCATCATTATTGCCATTGTTATATAAAATGACTTAACTAATGACTTCAATACCCTAAAGTATATTTAAAATCCATTGTCCTTTGTATTCCACCATGTTTATTGTTGAACATATTAACTACAATATTTGTTGACAACACTGTCAACTTGGTTATGAAATACTTAATTGCTAACCTTTTAATGTGTAATTTGTTGAGTTTAGCTTCATTATGTGCTAATGAAGTGTGATTGTAACTGAATGAGTTGTGTTTTAATTGAAATCGAAATTCATGGAATCA